GAACAGGGGATGCGGTTTGTGAATTCAAACTAGATCTAACGTCGTGCTACTATTCTTTGTAAACTTTTTTTCTTCAAATTTCAAGTCAAAGAGTGATAAAAGGTTGTTTTCGACGCCGCGGTCCTTTTCTAACGTCTTCAGCAGCGCCGCGTCAACTTATCGAAGAATTATTTTCGGCAGGGATTCCACGGTAGGCAACTGCCGTGCCAGTGCATTTGACATAGGACGGACGGGTGCTAAGTGTTTAAGCGGCAAAAAAGCCGACATGAGGAGACACTACCTACACTAAGTTTGCTGCAGAGGTGTGTCAGGACGATTAGGTTTTTCGCTACGCCAGTGGCCAATTGTTCGAGCGGGCAAGCGACCATCGGTGGAAAACGGGCTGGTGCTGCGCCAAACCTAGCACCCCTCCCCCGACACGCCCTAGCGATTGAGCGGAAATGAATTTACTTATATTTTCACTCGCGTCCTGTCTTGCGGTGAGAATTTTAAAGGTGCTTCAATCATTTATAATCTGAGCCACAGCTCTCAAACCTAATACTGAGATCTCTCTACCGTCTAATTATAAGAATGCTTCCAAGTGCCGTAAATCCAAATGCGAGTTGGCCCATCGCTAATGAGGCGAGCAGTCCACACCGTGTACGCTTCATTCGGTCTCTGGCAAAATATGGCGTTCGCAGGGCACGCCATCGCGTTGTCATCATTTGCTGAAAAATACGACCCCCCCCCTCCCATGCTACCTACCACTTTCCTAGATTTTCCCAACTTCCTACCACTTTTTCCCGAAAAATTTCCAGTTTTTCAGCCAAGAATTTTCCGTCGAGCGGGGGAGGGGGGGGGGGGGGGGGGGGGAAGGTCGCCAGGATCTAGTATATAACTATCATTTTCAACTATCGGGATTAGTAACTGCATACATCTTTGGTAGTCCCTCTCCAAAATACGACCCCCTCCCCTATATGCCTCCCTGAAACAAGAGAAATCAACCATCAAAAAAAATTCTCAGACCAAATACGACCCCCTTCCCCGCGGTAAAATACGACCTCCCCGTTGTGATCATCACAATGATGACGTGCCCTTTGCGTCCGCCGCGTATTCTGACGATTTGTCCAAATATTCGACTGGCTGCGCTTATCACTCGTTCGGTCCTCCAGATTAAATGACGGATGGGCTCCTATCAGGGCTTTCTAGGTCTCCAGGGCGCTAAATTGGTACCAGACTCGTCTGGGATAATAAAACCATGTTCTTGCGCACTGCATAACCCGAAGATGTGGCTTCATTCGTTGCGCTCATTTGAAGATGGCGGTGACTGCCGTTCTGATTGGATATTGATCTTTTTAGGACAATTGTAGGTAGAACGTTTTTGTCTGTCACAACAGGATGACAACTGAACCAGGTGGAAGCACGGGACGCTGACTTAATATTTCAGGTGGAAATACTCAATTAAGTCAGCGTCCTGTGCTGTTGTTCAAAGGCTAATGCCGTTTGGACTCCAGAAATTTCGGCACCGAGCTCATTTTCAAATTGCCTAAGTCACCAAATCCGCTAAAAACTTGTATATAGGGGTAATTCAACATCCTGATTACGAATATGACATTCATTTTTAGCGCTGGCGCTAATGGATGACACTACGATTACCTCCCGGGCTCAGCCTTAGCAGAGCGTAGATAAACATAGTGTCATCCATTAGCGCCAGCGCTAAAAAATGTTGTCGATATTCGTAATGCATGCTGTTAGAAACTACCGCCTACTAATACAGGTGTTTAAAGCGGATTTGGTGACTTATGCAATTTAAAAATGGGCTCGGTGACGAAATTTCTGGAGTCCAAACGGCATTGGCCTTGTTCAAATGGAGCACGTCCAGTCCTCATCATTGCGGACTGTCGGAGGCGGCGTGAGCAGCGCGGTTCGAGTCCGCGTTCGGCTCCCTTGCTCTACCAATGGCGATCGGGTAGAGATCGATTTAGGAAGGAAACAACCAATGATGGAAACGCCGCAGCTGAGAACCGCTGATCGACCCGGCAATTGCGGTGATGTTAAGTGTAGTCACACCCTCCCCACCTCCGGGATATGGCATGGACAGGCCATTGTATAGGCCCTATCGCATTCAAAGGATTCCACTGTTCTGAATGGCAGTCAAATGCGCGGCGAACCCCAGAAAGGTAACCATAAACATCTAGGGCTTTATTGTTCACTTATGCTTTCCACAAAATAACGGCCGTAGGAATGGGTGGTGACGAACCGGGCCTGTGATGTAAAAATGAGCACCAATAGACGTACGCATTCATCACTTTCTGTCGCAGACGCCGTTGTACGCATTCTGTAGTCGTTTCGAGAGCGGATTCCGTTGCATATTTGTGTTAAAAATCAAGGATATAATCACTTCATGCAAAATGCAACAACCTAGGACTAAAACAAACAGTAACAAATCAACAAGCGAGGGGATATACAAAATCTAAACATTCTAGGTTGATAATCGCCCGCAGAAACATCTAAGCTGCTTCAGCTTCTGCAAGTTTCTCTTCTCCGCAATCCACTATTGTAACCTTTTCCTTCGGCTTCCCAGTTCGTGATCCCATTGATTCAATCTTTTTCACCACACTCAGTCCATCAGTTACTTGACCAAATACGACATGTTTGCCATCCAGCCTGCAAAGCGAGCACTTTCACAACAGTATAGAGAGAACAGCAACTGATAAGGTGAATGATGACGAATTCATCACCAGTCATGTGTTTTTGGGATTCGACAAGCATTCTGCTTTCTTTCAGAACCGTGGCTCTCGAACGCTACTTGGTACAATTACTTGTGGGCGCTAGCTGATGCAAATTTTACCCTTCCGAACAAACTTGGTAGCAACTAGTCGAACTCAGTGGATGGAAGGCTTGTGGGAAGGTGGAAGCTGACCAGAGTCTGATAATTGAACCATGCGCGTGATAATATTGCCGGTCACCAACTACACCACATCCGTCTGGTACACTGACACCGAAAAAATCAAAACTAGTTCCTCACAAATAAGTAAAACCAACTCGTCTGATTACGACTTTAATTTCGTACATTCAGAAACTTCCACAGTACTTAAAGAAAAACGCTCCCACAATCTATCCAGAGACGGGGCTACGGTACCGACAAATTGCGCCCTTCACAGCGCAAGGTTGGAACCGTTAACCTAGTTGAATCTTGAACTTTCATTCTTTCAGAGATTATCATCGATATTATATCTGCCCAGTGGATCCAGTACTGACGCATGCAAGCTGCCTTTTGTAAGTAAGTCATGCCTGCACTATGTAGAGCCAATTAAGCATAGTTAATTACATGCGCCTGAACCTTTGGGGTGTAGCACTTCAATTAATCACATTGGAACGGTCAACAAATAAAAAGCAGGATATCAGCTGTAGCGCTATAGCGCTTGAAATCAGCGGCTTATCGAGTACAGAAGGGTTCTCAAGAGAAGAAAGGTGACGAGGCCTACTAGGAAGGTCAATCAGGATGTAAGACACTTTCCTCAAGACTTTTGCATGATCGATGAAGCGCAGCATTAGCTCTCTCTTTATCCCTTTTGACGTTTTCACAGTCACTGAGAACGAGCTTTGGTTTCACAGTTCTTGCACAAGCCCTTTTCTCATACAAGAAGCAGTTTCGAAGCGCTCGAAGTCCTGACCGACCTCCCTGGTTAGTCACGTGAATATTTCGTTGATCCTGGAAAATAACAGCAACAGAAGAGACCCTTCGAGATGCTCACAGGCACGATGTGATGTGACAATACTTATTCTGGAGCAGAACAACCGACCTGTTACAGTATAGTTCGCTGGGGACGGTTGGGCGCGCCTGGCGGGATGAGTTCGGCACAGTACCAAACCGTAGTTGTTAAAGCGAGAAGTGATATGACGAGAAGTGATATGTATCGTTCGTATTACTCGTTTTCTATCGCTCTTTGTTGCATACGCGCTTCAACAAGAAGGCAAAGAACGGCTTTGACGGCGTGACGCACTCATACTGCCTGGCCTGTCCCAACGTCGCTGCGAACTCAAGTGGTATTTAATTCCTACATCAAGGAATAAAACGTTTGAATGGTTATTCAAGCCGAAGTTCTTCATGAAGCTCCTTCAATTAGCCCCCTTTTCACTTTTACACGCAATGCTGTCTTCAACAAATCGTACCAAGGAAGTGTGGCCAGAAATAAAGAATTGACTGCCATTTGTGTTTGGACCCGCGTTTGCCATTGAAACACATCCGAGACCACTATGCTTTAGTGTAAAGTTCTCATCCTGAAACAAGTTAGAGTAACTAAATTTTAAAAAAAATGCGGCTCTAGCACCAACCTCGAACTTATGACCATATATAGATTCACCCCCTCGTCCGTCTCCCAGAGTAAAGTCCCCGCCCTAAAACATTTATATAGTGATGATTACCGCTTATAATCGTCCTCCTCATTCTCCGAAATTTCCGTGAGCTCACCTGGATCATGAACTCGGGTATAATGCGATGAAACGCTGAGCCCTTAAAATGAAGTGGAACTCCACTTCTTCCCTTGCCTTTTTCTCCGGTGCATAACGCTCGGAAGTTTTCTGCAGTCTTTGGTACAACGTCATTGAACAGCTGAAAGAATACCTCTGAAGTTTCAGACAGATAAGAACCTGATGGCATCTAATTCACTTCTATTGTTATCTTTCCTGCGTGTGTATCTCCAATATTGACATCAAGGAATACACGGCTTCGAGCCGAACTTGAAGCATATCGTATGGCGTTTATAAGGAACCGTGATCGAAGGAAAGACATCCTATAACGAAATGTCAAATGATTAAGGGACCGCACGAAAATGCGATAGATTGGAGCTGAACCGTTCTTTAGAGTAAAAACAAAACAAAAGAAGCACCAAAATCGTGCAAAAAAAAAAAACTCAAACATCCATGAGAACCGAAAATTTTACGCAAGCAAATCCAGCAAGGGTAGCATTAGAATGGGCTAATGCCGTTTGGACTCCAAGAATTTCGGCACCCAGCCCATTTGTAAATTGCCTAAGTCACCAAATCCGCCAAAAACTTGTATATAGGGGTAGTTTAACATCCTGATTAAGAATATGACATTCACTTTTGTCGCTGGCGTCAAGAGAGGACACTAGGATCACCTCCTAGGCTCAGCCTTAGCAGAGCGCAGATAATCGTAGTGTCATCCATTAGCGCCAGCGACAAGAGCGAATGACATATTCTTAATCAGGATGTTAAACTACCCCTATATACAAATTTTTAGCAGATTTGGTGACTTAGGCAAATTTAAAAATGAGGAGCTCGGTGCCGAAATTCTTGGGGTCCAAACGGCATTAGGCCCCATTTCGATTAGAGGCAGCTAATTAGTATTTCAGATAGCAGAGGAAGGTTCTAAGCACAGAAATACCTGGAGGAAGAAATAAAAATGAAAAATTTTACAAAAAATTTGGATTCTTTTAGATCTTTGGAAATTTTCGCAATAAGTTTTGATGCGCTTTTGTTTGTTTTTACATTCAGATTTTAACGAGGCTCCGAAACAGCACAATACTCCGTTTTTTAGTGACTAAACTCGCCGAAAATAACGCAGTTTACCGCCACATAATATCCACAATTAGTGTTGATGAAACCAGAAATAGAAAGTGGTGTATTTCACGCAAGGGGAACGTTTAGTAGAATTCGTAGCACACCATGAAAGATAATCTTTTATTAAAAATCACAAATAATAAAAATCCCAACAAAACAAAAACCGTGGCAGTAACTACCCTTCGCAAAAGCAAATTATTTACATAGCAACAGAAGTAACCCTTTTTTAAGTCAAAGAACGAAAAAATCACATCACTCGTTTAACTGAATAATGCAGCTCACATGCTGATCGCTCAGTGCCTTCTATAATGTTTGGATTTGAATCCTATAAAAGTAAAGTTTTCAGGTGATACTGATTTCGGGCACATATTCGATAACTTGTGTGGAAGAATCCAAGCCCTGCTAGGTGACGAACGCGTCCCATCTCTAGTATTACTTTCGCTCGACGTCCCATCTCCTCCTTCCATAAAGTCGACCTGAATATAGGAAGTTCCGACGAAATAATTACTCACAATCGAATGCTCTCTTTTACTATGTGACCCAAATATCGCGTAAAAAAAAAAAATGGAGGTCTTCGGTTTAGTGTGGGCATTTTGCTGGTACCCATCGATCACTGCCAATGCCTTATACGGAAACCTGTAAACTATTGCAAAGCTATGCAAAAGCACGAGATTCGTTCCTACTAGACAAAAAGGTGCAACATGTCTTGCAAAGGTGAGACGTTTAATTTAACACGAAATTCGCAAAGCAAAACTAGCGGAAGTGCAAAATACCCTCGCTAAGCCGAAGAGTGCTAAAAATTGTAATGAAAATAGATTGCTGCAATGTGAGCGACAACAGCAGATGGAACGAATCAAGAGAAAATTAATGACTGATTGTAGGAATGAGAGAATAAATGTAAAGGAGAAACGAGTTGTTCTCGGGGAGAGCAAAAAGGCAGATCACACTGCGCATGAAGCGCATCATATCAACCAACTAACGGTCAAACAGATAACCTAGCCCCATTCCTTGACCTCCTCCCAATCCTGGTACCTTCAGATTCTGCTGAAACGATGTAGTTGGGAGCCAAAAATGCTTGTCGGTCAAATTCAATAAAATGTGAACCACAGATTAGGCGATATTCTCGAGGAACCTGCCAAATAGTGACCGTCACAGTGACCCTCTAATCCAAACAGCTGCTTTCGGTTGATGCTAAGATTGCAGATTTCTTGACCTCGTCGTTAATGGACGGCTTTGCCTTATCGTGAAGATGGAAGCACTGATGAAGTATTTGCTCCGTACTTATGAACACCTCAAGAATATTTTCAACTTAGGCCTCCCCGCATATCCCTATCATTGTGCGCATAAAACTGCGCTACAAAGCCACAAGCGAAGGGTCTTCTCACTCCTCTATCTATGTATCACCGGTACCGGTACAAAGTTTTCTTACATATTTTTGCTCATTTTTGCCGGCTGCCTCGTTTTGAGTTCCATTAAAGAAGTGGTACCAGCCAATTATTCGTTCAAGATTGAATTTTTCTCAATTTTAGCACTTATGAATTCAGATGAGTAGCTTGTGCAAACCACCCAAGATTACTACAGTTTAATAAACGTATGCTTCAGCTTCGTCGCCTTCGTGAGAGCCTGAAATAGTCAAAACAGGTGCAACTTGTCCTGTCTTCTTCTTTTGCCAGTAGGTGGCTTACCAGTATCTCAAAATGGTTCTCAGCTATCGCTGGGGCGTTTGAGAGGACAAATCCCATTTGCTCTTAATTTTTTTTTCAGGCTTTGACGAAGGCGAACAAGCCGAGATGTTGGCTTGATAAACGGTTACAATCTTAGACTTCTAAATTGAAGCTTTAAAAACGTTTCAACTTATCTCGATAAGATTGTGACGCCTACAATATCGGGAAAGGTAATATCATAGGAACATACCAAGGAGTCATCACTGCATCGCCCGTACCGTTCTCTAAAGAGCTCGATTTGATAAAAGGGCTGGTGTTCATTGTGATCCATTGCACCATCCTCGCCAACGGATTCGTGGATGTGCTGATCGATGGTGGAAGCACCTGCTTCAGATTCTCGGACAGCATTCACCTTGCCAAATCCACAAACAGCCCATGTAGCAATGTGACGTAAGGCAGCGAAATCACCTTCGCTGTCCATATTCCATAGAGCTAAGAACTCTCGCCCGGAGTACTAAAATCAGAGATATTCAGATAGCAGTGGACAACATAAGTTCCCTATGGACGCGAACTCAGACGGCTGGAAAGAATAGTATTGCATATCCGCGCCCCCCCAGCGAAAAGTCTCCCCCTCCCCATCAGAAGGATTTCCCCTGACCTGCCCATTCCCTGAAAGGTTTCACAGACAGCTATCAAATCTAGCTTCCCTTCGAGGTTTCCCTCTCCCTGGAAAAGACTGTCAAGGAATCTTTGCGACCCTCGCGATCAGAAGCTCTGAAGCTTAAAAGACCCAGCAGCTACGACTTTTTCATCACTGCTCAAACCAAGTTAACTCGTTGACAAAAAGAGTAGTACCAATGGTAGGACTTTCCGCATTTTTCTGCTTGTGCACATTAGATCTGTGACTTTGTATAACTGGATCTCTACCAAAAAAATTTCGCTTATTCACCTCAACGTATCGAGATTTGTGGTGGCAACAAGGTACCAAAACGAAGCCGTCAGAATAGCCCACTGTGCATACCATTCGACAGACATCGAATGCCGGCGTCAGTCGCAGTGCCACAGAAGTGCTTACAGACGGCGCACAGATTTGACACATCCTAAATTTCAACTGAAGTCTAAATTCAAATACAGCAAAGGCTGATAAATGAATTGCTAAATAGGATTCGGAAATTGCTAGTATTGTGCAATTTGGAGGTAGCATTCAGTATGAGTTGTCAGCCTCATGGGATTAAATATAGATGCTGACGCTCCGAAGAAATCGCGTTCTTTGGAGTCTGCAAATTCGAAGCACATTATCGAGACAATTTACACAGTAACCACTACAGTAAGAAAAAACTCTGCAGGCTCCAAAGAACGAAATCAACGCAGAAAAATTAGTCCACTTGGAGATCAATTAAAACTGAAATACCACGTTGATGACGCTGAGATTTGTCGACCTTCCATTATGGAACACTCAAACTGTAGAAAAAAGAATATTTTACTAAATGACTGAAAAAAGCTCACCTTGAGCATGTCCACTTCCGCCAGATTAAGATGTTCGATGGAGCACCGCAACCGCTTTATATTCAACGAAGGGTTTTCCTGAAGAGGCGACACAAGTATTGCTAACTTTTCCAAACAAGGTGATCGCCAAATTGATTCACTGATTTACTTGGAGAGCTCTGTTGTCGTATTTGTTCCTAGCACCGCTCCTGTCAACAAGAAGAAACTTCGACAGAGGAGCTCTCTTCATCATCCAGTACGCAAGATGCGCCTAATTAACAGTGGACACTTTGATAGGCTTAACATGAAAAGACATATAAAGAGAACCAATATGCAGCCCAGTGCAGTATGAACTTAAGACTACACTGATCTATTTCAGCACATATATGGTCGGTTTCGATGTAGAGTAGTCGTTGCTTTGTATCCTTCAAATCTGAATCGAACTCTTCACCCCTATTCCTAACCAGGAAAGTCCGCCAACTTACCCATGGAACTTTGAATGGAGACCTGGGTAGATCGATAGGGTCTGTAAGGTACAAATATAGGTGGCAAAACTGCAACCAATAAAAACAAAACAAAACACTAAAGGCTAAAGGCAAAAGAGGCAAAACAATAATAAACTGTCTCAAATTTAAGTTTTTTTTTTTGTTGTTCTAATCTCGTCGCCCCTATGGCGACTACAGTGTTCGTCAATGTAATAAACTGAAAATTGCACCTTCATATGTAACTATTACCAGGGAGGGTTTGTAAGTGCCAGTAGGGTGGGCTTGGTGGTGAGCTGTGAAGCATAAGCGAGGAATCGCATACGTCGAATCGAGTCATGGTGGCTCAGTGGTAAGGTTCTACGTCCGACGACTCGATTTGACGTATGCGATTCCTCGCTTATGCTTCACAGTCTCCACCCTACTGCACCATTACAAACTTTACCTGCTCATAAGTTGCTTGTGAAATGCAGGTTGCAGTTTTGCTATCTATATTTGGTAAATAACCTTATAGACTCTATCGATCTACCCAGTCCCACTCAAAGTTCTATCGTAATTTGGCGAACTTCGCTGGTAAGGCTTCACTCCTGAACTCTTAAGCCCAATGTCACCAAATTTTCCCACCCTTGGGCGCCCGCAAATCTAACACTGCGCTCTTCAACACCCATCTCCATAATGCTGAGAAATGCAAAATGGTAATCACAGGACTAGGTTTGCTCACGGGACGTCCGACCAGTTAGAACTAATATTGAATGAACAGGTTATTCTGACGAGATTCTCCCGGGACCATAACAGAATGGGATTTCCCCGTGCACTCGCTGCCTGTGAAATTTCCTCAGGCCGATAAGCAATGGCAGCTGAGTTCATGAGAGTTCAAGCTTAAAAAAAAACTGAAAATGTTTACTTACTCACTTTACCTGCACCAAGTTCCAAAATACAAGCAGAGGAATCATTTCTTAGAAGACCAACGCGCTCCAGATGACCTGAAAGAACTCTGAGCCAGTAATCCAATAATAAGGAAGTTTACACAAAAGACAAAAATATCCACCTATTATGGAACTCTGCTGGATAAGATGCTTGCGTTTACTCTCAGAAAGGTTGCAAGCTTGTTCAAGATGTTTATCAACTTCTACACAATGAGCCTGGTCTACTGCCAGTTCGTGGCAGATGGAGCTATAACAACGTTGGAGCTTCTCTATGGTACGAGCGATCTCCTCCTGAAATGAGGAACATGTTGGAATAAGAACATGGAAAGAAGTGGCCTGTGGCACATAAACTAATCTGGCATTTTGGATTGGCGAAAAATTTGTTCTGCAGGGTAGTTCCGTGCTCTCAGCCCAAGAATTATATTCGCCTGGAGCCCCCCCCCCCTACAGACGTCTAGCAAATAAGCCTTCGACGACCTTGACCACTCAAAACTTGCTTGTGAGAGCAGGCACCAATTGCTGCATTGGTAGTTGGGACCAGCATTACAAACTAGCATCAATATAATTACGTCCTCAATTTAAGCAGCGTAGAAGTGAATCTATAAGACGTATCAGTGCCTTTAAGTTTTTTTTTTCTTGTTTTGGTTTTTTTTTATTCCAACTGCAATATGAGCGTTAACGCCTAAGCAGGGCATACATTACTGAGACATATCTCGGAAGCTGTATATAATGAAGAATTACCTTCTATGTGTTATCATACATAGAAGGTAATTCCTTCATTAAATCGCACATTCCCTGCTCGAGAGACAAACTACTGCTGGTTATTTCAGAGCAAAAAAATACTTAGAGCACGAGACCTCGGAAAGAAACTCACTTCACTTGGCCTTCTGTCAATTTTCGCAGTGAACTTCGTTTCTCCTACCATCGCATTCACGTCTTTCACAATCCATTGCTCCTCTACTATGCGTGAGTTACACCTTGAAAACACCTTCGCATTAGACAACATGAGAAATCAAAAAAAAGCTAGACAGAGTTCTGCACTGTTTTTCTCGAGACCAGTCCTTCAAGAATTAGATTTAATCTTTAGGTGCGGGTAGTTTTGAAAAAAAAAACTGCCTGCTCACACAGCGAGATCTCATCATGCAAACACCTTTCGTCACACACGACACAACACATACACACACATACGTACGTACGCACACACACGCACGCATGCATGTATGTATGCATGCACACACACCACGTTCTGATAGGCACACAGAACATGCGCAGCATACGTTTATGACAGCCTTTATACTTTGCGATGGGAGAATAGGAGAATCGACGACTAGACGTATCAAATGCTCGTCAATGTAAAGTTCAGGTATCAACATGGCAGTCTGGAAAATAACGACTCAAGTTTGGAGAGGAAAGCGTTCCTTCCGAGACGTCGAATCGCCAGTGCCTTCAATCCTTCACTAGCCATTCACTCTTTTATAACCGCTTATTCTTCCACACGACTTGCTAATTCTATGCTATTGAACGAGTCTTCTATTCTCCCGTCGCAGAGCATAAACGGATTCTAGCTTGGAAACGAGTAAAAGGGACATTTTTTCTTCTTCTTCACTGTAAGTTATTGGCTTGGAAAAAAGCTTCAATATGCTAAGGAGACTTTGGCTTCCTCATTTTCCTCACACAAATAAAGACCTAAAAAAACTCAGGATTTCTCATAACAATCTTAGGAAAAAGTGAATAAAATGTAAGTAAGGTTTTTATACAATAGCAACGAAAATTAAACGTTGGATAAAAATTAAAGAAACGGAAACAAACTCGAAATCAATGGTGCAACCTCAGAAGATGCTGCTGAAGTACACGACGATCCACTGTGTGCCTGGGATCGTTGGGACATGGTATACGGTCCTACAATATCACAATGTACTTAAACGAAATTGTCCAAGGAAGAAATCACATAAAGTAATGAAATTCATGAAGGAACTACTGTCGCATTCAGGGTTTGCCGCTCTCTCAAGGGCAAGATCAATGTTGTCAATATCCGTCATTATCAACACGAACATGTGCAAAAGCACGCGTAGGCTACTTATAGTTAGTGTACATCACCTCACGCCAACTTGTTTACCCAACACGGCCTTCCCGACCGTTTCACTTGGTGGGTAGACGCCCTTCCCTGACATGGTAGTCCTGTCCGCAAGCATGGCCGATGCACTACTTGCCCAGCTTACCCGACTTTCATTTTTTTGATACTTGGTGGTGTGGCTGCTCCGCTACTCTCTCCATTTCGAATGATGAAAGTGAGGCGTTAAGTAGAAGGTGGCACCAACAACCGAGAACTCGTCCACCAACCGCCCCTTTCTCGCATTATAATGCACATGCCAGCCCCGTAATGGATTCTATATGGGCATTTCGAAGGGGCTTTTCTCCATTTTTGTGTTACTAACCATTCGCCATGAGTATTTGAGCAGCTCACCATTTTTTAAACGAACCCGGGACGTGCCTTTGATGGAGCCACTGGTTGAGAGCAGGAATGAATGCAAAATGTGAAAAAAAACACATCAATAACCTCATTATCTTCTTGAAAATTAGCATGTTCTCCGCAATATTTCTGTCCCTCTCGAGTTAGCATGCGACAGTTCCGACCTTTCTTCGGCAAAACAAAAGCGCAGCGCTTCTGAATCTTCTCCAAGTTCGACATGGTCGCCCAAAAAATATGAGTACAATGAAGATTGACCAGTCGAACTAACAGCCGTGAACCTACGAAGAAAAAGTTCCTTTGAATGAAACATGCGCTCTCAGACCATAAAAGAATTAATGAGGTAATGACGGACAGAACCGCTTCAAATAAACTGATCGTTCACTCATACAACACAACGATTTAAAGAATGCTGTATAAGCATTTAACCGTACATTGCAACATCACTAAAGCGCCATACACATGTGATAAAGACAAATAAATTGATGCAAAACACGAAGAGCACAATAAATTTAATTTGGACTTTCTTAGCTTTTTACTTTGACAAAACGGAAATGTCCTATACTTCATAAGCAGTTTTCACTTTTTATGTCCTTAACATGAGGAAACACGCATAAAAATTCTTTTAATGCTTCAGGAGCTTTAAGATGGCCGATCACTAATGACCGTTTGGAACGTCTTCTGATCACTCAATATATCTACATTGTGAATATCTATGATGAAAGAACAACAATAGAACTCATCAATTGCCATTGGACAAATGGAGTTGAAAGATGAAATCAAATGAACAATCACTGCTATCTATACAATCTACGTACAATTCGATGAACCTAGACCTAAAAGGGAACAACGCAGGCTCACTCTAACAACAACTATTTCTGCCTAACTCTGTTTGACCGGCACTTTGAAGCAATCTATCTTCATATGGTAGCAAATCTGCCGTGTAATGATGGCACAATATATAAACAGTGAAGCGAGAGTATAGCACGTGACCCATATCAACAATTTCTTTTCGCAGATCCAGAAGTCATAGTACCTGAAAACATATTACTGAAGTAACTTGATTAACACGTTCGAGGCGGCGTGTACTCCCGGGAGTACACGCGGAAACCCCTGTTTTCGGTCATTCGTACAGTATTGCGAAAACACGCGCATATTTTTTGTTCTTTTTGCGACTGATTATATTCTACTAGCATACATTTACACAATTAACACATCAATACGAAGAAAAAATTGTAAAAATATGCCAAAAAACAACGAAGAACGTGAGTTCTGGGCGAAATGGCCTTCGCCTCGTGTTAATTAAATGTTAACTCGAATGTGTTGACCAAATGCTTTTGCAAAGGACCACTGGTCTGTGTTGCAGAACAGTTCCTGAGCACACTGCGGCAAGTGGGGTGGGCGGAGGAGAAGCACTCGTGAACTAGCAAGAAGAATGTTAATTTTCACGATACTTGTTACTTCCTAGCGTTATACATTTTTCAGAGTAGGACGATACGAAGAAATGACTGTGATTAAGGAGATGAGAATTTTGAGGCCTGCGGGAAGGAGTCAAAAGTGCGAAAATGCACAGAAGGCTATTTCGAAAACGAAATTGTCATACTTCTTAGGTTCAAAGGCACGCCACGTGTTCAAAAATGAGTTGTTCGGCTCAAATTTCAATGACAAGACGGTAAGTGAGCCAGCAGTGAAGAAGAAAGCAGGGAAAAAAAATAACTGCCGAAGGCACCCCAATAAGAACCCCATCTTTCTCCTCATCACCATTCGACATGGAGAGTGGTAGAACCGCATCATCAGGTAGCAGTTTGAAATGAAATTTGGGCGTACTCGCGGTTAGGCTGCGTTTATACTTTGCAGCAGCGTAGCGTAGCGCTTCCAGCGCTTCACGAGCGTTTCGCTAGCGTTTGCCAGCGGCGGGGCTGAGTACAGAAGAAAGTAGAGAGTAAAAAAACTCTCCTACTCTTCTATACTCTCTAGCCGCCGCTAAGCGTTTGCAGCGGCGGGGCTAAGAGTAGTATAGAAGAAATGGGAGTGTAAGAAGAGTAGAGTATTTTTGTACTCTCCTACTCTTCTATACTCTCTAGCCCCGCCGCTGCAAACGCTAGCGAAACGCTAGTGAAACGCTCGTGAAACGCTGGGAGCGCTAGATCGATAGCTATGCTTCCCGTGCCCTCGCTACGCTAGCGTGCGCTGGCGTACGCTGGGAACGCTAGATCGATATCTATCCTTTCCCCGATACTGCCGCTGGCGTACGCTGGAAGCGCTACGCTGCCGCAAAGTATAAACTCAACCTTAGTGGGCGGACGCGCTTCCTAATGTAATTTTGAGCAGCGGAATTAGTACATCCTCCACCCTTGCAGCGCGGACTCCAAAGAAGGCGCCTGAACATCAAATGAACACGGAGTCGTGCCTTCAAAGGAAATAACAAGAGGCGAACTGTGACATTTTAACATTACCGAATTTCGTAAAAACTTGTCAACTCACTGATTGAGCATAAGCGCTATTGGTCCCATATAAATCCAGTCCCATAAAACGAGTTCACTTCGACTCATATGTCCCACTATCAACCGGTTTGTTGCCTTAGCAGATTGAGAAATTTGTTCCACGAAGTCCACGTCAGTACACAAAATGAAACTGCGAATCACCTTGGCAGCTACTGCACCGAAGCATAGCACAAATATGGTGATATTTTCGTCGAAAACAGCACTTCGCGATTTGCTGTATATCATGCAGAATGGAATAATAGACGCCAAAAGTGGGCAGACAGGGAAAAGAACGGAAGTACCAGCAACTGGAACTAAATAGATGAGAAAAAGAAGTGCAGTGAAAATAGTTCATATCAGCTTGAAAAAGAGACGCGACGTCAGCCCACCTGTCGACCCGTTTCTTCCAACTCCACCTGTGAGAATAACGCCGAGGTGGCACATGCTTGTATAGATAGCTACAAGGAATGTTGTTAGCAGAAGCATATGTCGTAATTGGTAACCAAAGGCCCCTGAAAGGAGTGGACGAATCCAAGAACTAAATAAACAAAACGAGACAAAAACTCTTGAAGACGAGTTGTACAATCACCTCCGAGGAGGGTCCAAGCACTGTGCTATCAGCGGGTCCGCAGTTGCAGTAGCGTGCTATGTTTCTTGTTCCTAGCGTTCACGGGAGGGCTGGTTTTGGTAGAGGTACCCGAGTGCCGTCTCGCGCGATATCCTCGAGCTGCAGCATTACGTCGATACCAGAGGTCCACAATTCGAAAAACTGCACTCAGTGATAAGGGAAACAAAGAGGGTATACAGACACAAAGAGCGTGGTTTGGTGAGTGATCAGGACATTGAGCCGCTCTGCGGCAGTGCGGGCGGAATATGGATTATGGTACTCGGTATCACTACACTCCAGCCCCATTCCCAGGCATTTTGGGCAGCAGAAAATGGCACGCTTTTGCAGCTGCGGTGCCACTTACCCACATGGCAAGGGACCAGTCAAGGTGAGTATACCGATTGTCTTTAATCAGTAGAGTGGAAACCGACCAACAGTCCACACATCCGTTCCCAAAAGAGAAGTGATCAGTAGTATGAAAATGATTGTCGTCTGAGCCTCGGTGACATCAAAAACTCGAAAATCTGAAAATCTGAAGGACTGCAATTGGAAATGTATTCAAGACCACAGAAACTTCGACAAACCTCAACTGTCCCGTACAATATGTACTCCAGTGGGCGCAGTAAAACAGTGATACTGATACAATTATTATGAAAAAAGTCCCCCATCTTATCTCTCCAAGTCGCATAGCATAAGCTGCATTGAGGGTGACGAATACCTGCAATCCAGCTTATTCGTGTAAATTATAACAACTCAATCTTACAGGGTAAGGAGCGAAAATTCATAAGAAACTTTCAAGTGCATCTCCCTAACGCCTTTGGCTTTCCCAGATGAAATTATGAAGAAGGCGCTACTGGTCACCCTCACTCTACTAATCGCTCCTACAAATGTTAATATGTGACGAACAATAATTCGAAAGATTAACGATCCCCCAGAACATCGAAGAACCGAACAATACTTATGCATCCAGCATTTACCAAAAAACTTGCCCAATATCCAACGAAGGCTAAACGAGATTACTAGGCCAACAACCCCATTTGCCTACATTCTAACGACCAGATACATGTAAAGGACGGCTACTGTTTAGAATATTTACAGACTTCCATGAAAGCTGAAGCATTTCAGAAAACATTCTCCGGTAATTTAAAGACCCAAGAACAGTGACTGTCACCTAACTTTGACATCGGAAGTCTGAGACCTCAAAAGTCAGAGTCGGAAAGAAACTGATTTCAATATCTTTCTAACCTGGGTTATGCATTAGGAATATCGTACCTGTGATATCGAATCACAGCCATGATCGAACAGTTCGCCCAGAGGCGATGCTGCACCTGTACGTCTAGCTTGCTTGCCATCTGGAATTAACTGGTTATACGGATGAAGTTGAAAGATCGACACGATCAAACACCGTCAGGATCAGAAACTTTGGTGAGTTTTCAAATTTTGCCATATTTAATGCTGCGTTCAAAAAAAAGTAACGAAATGAAATGTGCAAAAAAGTCATAACGAATTCTTTCGGACAGGTTTTGTCTGCTACTTCAATGAGTACGTATTTTCTCCCCCTCCCCTCTATTTTGCAAACCAGCCCGTAAGTCTGTCAGTTGGTCAGTTTGCTTTGTCTGCTCCCTCCAGAATGCTTCGATGCGGTAAGGGAAGAGTGGAGAAAATGACTGCCAACAAATCAGGGTGACCGTTAGAGCTTTCGTTAGAGATTTAGCATTACACTGTTCCTGGTGCCGTCGCAACACAGGATAAAAACTAAGTATAAGACACCCTCTGTGTGCATTCCTATTCAAATCTGAAGATGCTCTTCTTGCGGTTGGCGCCAAGCATTGGGGGAGGGTGCAGTAAGGATAGGGAAGTTGCGGTGGCAGCCGCAGATGCGGTGACATGCACGCGTGATAATGGCAAGGTTGGGAAGCAGTAAGATTGCGGTATCAACTTCCCATGAGAATGCGATTGTGATGGCACCATCCCACGGCTTCATATGACAGTCAGTCGGTCCGCTAGCAGGCAAAGGGATTACGGCAAGAGGTGTTTAAAAGCAGAGGGCGCCATGAAAACTAGCGAAAGAGAGCGCTGCAGCTGCTGGGGGAACAGAGTATGAGAAAAAAAAACAACTCGCAATGCACGTCGAACGACGGCAAGGTAAAAGCAAAACTCAGGAAGTATAGGAAGTATATAGAGCATGAACGGAAGTACAGAGAGCGTAGGATGCAGTGAATTTCACCATTCCATTCTGAATCTTATTATTGGAAAAGGTCTGGTAGTTATTACAACCAAATTATTGCAAAAATAGCGTCGTTGTAACGGTTCCTAATTGAAAGAAGGGCCTTTATGGAACGAACGAAACCTTTATAGAATTACTTTACTCTGAATGGTCTAACGTGCGAATAGAGAGTGAACATCTAGTTCAAGATAAGTATTTGCATAGCCAGTGGACGGAATCCCAGGCGAATCTCACTAAGGCCTGCAGAATTTCCTATTCCTTCAAAGTGAATTACCTCCCCACTAAATTCTTTAGTAGGATTCAGTATGCTCTCTCTCTCGCCGGGTTACGCAAAAAGATGCATGTGTTAAAAGCAAACCCGGCGATTGCACATTGTGGATAGGGGCGTTCAGTTAGAAACCTACAGTCCAATAAGTGACTCTAGATGCAGAACAAGCGGAAAAATGGAGAGCACCCTGAATACCCCTAGCAGCCTCACAGTACAAGTTCTCCGGACGTGATAGTTTCATGCTAGCGAAATGTTGCTGCCTCTGACTCACTAATCCTTTCTTCGCGTCACCCAACGTTAACATCATCTAAAAGTACTTGTGGGCCTAAAATAGCCCTTTTGTTGGATGGGCGGGACAACAAGGAAAGCGTCAGAACTGCCACCTTCTGAAGGGCCAGCAGCGGCTTTCCATTACTTACAGTGGAAGCGCGCAGAAGTGGATAAGAGATTTACATGACTGCGACTCAGACTACTTGGTCAAGGAAAGACGCCTATGAAGTGGTTGAGCTGGGGAGCGTCTTCAAGCACGGCATCAGCGCCGTCTCGATTTCGAATTGAACTCGAATTTGCGGCTCATTCAAAGGTTTGCTTTCACTGCACCTCTCGAGCTTGTACAACAGTCAATCTAACACGAATTGTCCTGTCCTTCCCAACCGGTTATTAGTGTGGATTCACATTACTACATATGTATGTAATATTACACATGTAAAGAACTAACCAGTAGCATCGAGGGTTTGGTATACAAACAAGCCCAACGCCGCCGAAGCATACGCCCATGAAGGAGCAGATTCGCGTGCAGTAGGGCAGTAGCTAGATAACAAGGAGACGTTGGCAATGTTCACTATCAGCCCTGGGGGGGGCTGAACAAATACAACAGTATACTTCAAGTACACATGACTACGCCGTGGTAAATGAATGCAATAACAAAAAGAACTTACCAATCAATGTTAACAAATTGGGAGCCAGCCACAGCGGATAGAAATTCACTACCCAGTCCCAATAGTATTTCATACAAAATTCATCCAACCAACTCGTGTCTATAGCAGAGTATTTGTGCTCAGCAAGACGGCTCAGCTCTTCTTTAGTCATCAGGCAATCATACTGAACGATTTATAAAGACCAATTCACAGCAAAAAGAAACTCGGAACAAACCAAGAAACAAGAAGGAACAATATCCAATCATACAACCTGATAACCCCATAATAATATTGATAATGGAGGGGGGGGGCGAAGGTGGTGTAGTGGCAAACAGTGTCAGTAAGGCTGCGTTTATACTTTGCAGGCGTGCACGGCAGCATCTCCAGCGTCCTAGTATGGCATTGTTCACAGTCGCCAGGCCCCGACGAAACGGCGGTTGGGAGAAAAGCAAAAAATA